ATCGAGGACTATAATTTGATACAAAGTACGTCAATTGAATGTAACAAAACTTAATTAGAGGAAAACAACTGATAACTAGAAAAAAGAGCATAGCTTGAATGTATATATATATATATATATATATATATATAGGGAGAGAGAGATTAGAGTTTGGCACATACAAAATGGTTAAACATATACAAATACATAAATACATCAAATATTATTCCATCCCCTTTCATTATTCTACCATAATTAGATTGCTTATTATTTTTACTGTCATTATTATCCGTATTAATGTTATATAATGTTAAGGTGAAAAATAAACTGATTTATTTTAGAAATAATTCACCAATAAAGTAAGTCATTATCATAGTTTACTTTTTTTTTAATCATTCACATTCGATTATTCTTATTCTTTGTATTCTAAGAAAAGTTCCCCTATTTATGTTAGAAGTGTTTCAACAAAATTCGATTATTTGATTGAATAAAAAGTAAATGAAAGAGGTAAATTTGGAAAGAATGAATAAAAGAAAGAAAGAGAAAAAGACAAACGAAAATGATTCTATAAAAATACATACTTACAATCAGTTGTTCATCTACATATATGATAATGTGTGTCTGTTTATGTAAAGAGAAATCTAACGAAAATTTAATTCGTTTGCTGAATCGTTCCTAAATAGGTATTAAATTGCAGTTTTTGAAACCTAATTTTCACCTTAAATATATATATATATATATATATATATATATATATATATATATATATATACTTACATCTAAAAGATAAATTAGTTGAGTTCTCTAGTCTTTCTTCTTACTCCTTTCTCTTTAAATTAACTCTCAAGTGTTGAAAAACTCTCACAATGAAGTGGGTTACTTAAAACAAAAACAAAAATAAAATAGTAGTTAGGAAACGAAGCAAATGTTTAATTAACTGTCATAAACTGACCTTCAAAAATAATAATCTATAAAACATCTCATCAATTAAAGAATATTTCTTAGACAGAAAACAGAATTAAATGATTGAATTGGAAAAAAATATTAGCAACTTCAATATAATTCATGTCAGATCTTTAAATGAAGAAATAACCAGGTTATCTGATTTTCGATTGTTCTACAGTTGACTGATTTTGTTCAAGAAAACTCTTTCCACACTAATATTCTCTAAAGAACTATTAGTTTAAATTATTTTTTATGTTAAACGAATCTGAATTATAACGAAATAACTTTTCTATTTGAGTACCATTGCTGAGGAGTCCCATACTAGGACGAAACAGCTGTCTAGTGCTTCCAGGTTTTTCATGGTGGTCTAGCTTCAATTGACTCATGATTTCAATCTGTGAAATTTCCGAAATCTCCACAAACACCTTCTGATAAAAATGAAGAATCTATAGAAGAAATGGTATTGCAAAAAATGCATAATTTGTTCATGAAAATATTTGTCATGTAAACATTTTTCAGGTAAGTCAAAATATAGTTGAGGGACTCCCACACTAATGTGTGATATTAGGTAATGAAGTCAAAATTTCGATCTGAGCTATAAATTAAATGGATAAAGTCATTAAGATGGTTGTAGTCAGTGGTTTCATTCCTTAGATAACATAGCTTCTTCTTAATCCTAAGCAATAAGATTATTTTATACCTATTATCTCCTGATTTTATTGTCTATTCTTCAACCATATTATTTGAATTTTTTTTGTTTTCTGACCATCATAGACAGTATTCTGATATTTTTTACATATCCATAGAATCGATCTCAATAATAGGCCTTTTACCACTTATCATCATATTTAGAATTTACAATCTCTTTTTTTAAGTGTCTTGATATTGCACAACTTAAACAGTGGATTTAACCAATAATATTATTTGTAAAAATTATATTTGAAATAATCTCAGTGATTGAAATTTAAATAATTCCAACGTTTCATTGGGCAAACTTGTCTGAACTTCATCAGGGTAATAATCAAAACTACAAAATAACATATAATGTTTAGCAGTCGAATGAAATCTATACTGTGTATCTAATCACATTCTGATGTTGACTTCAATAAGTTGGATAATATGAGTCAAATAGATGTGAGAAGTTCACAACATGAACATAAATGAATGAGTAATTGTTTGCGTATGTTTAAGTTCAAGCTAGTAATGATTGATACCAAATGTTAATTTGTTTATTAGAAGTAAAAATAAGAGCTTCAAGTGGATATGTTATTAACACATCAATGTGTATGCAAAGTGAGAAACGCTAGTTTTTGTTAAGTGGACTCTATCACTTTGACTAGCTTAATACTATCTGATATATTGCTAACATTTTCATATATTTCTTCCAAACCATTTCGTAAAATATTATATGAAATGTTTGGATTATTTAACCTTTAGTCGCTGAGATTATTTCAAATATGACTCTCATAGGTAATTTCCTCTCTACATTCGGCGCCCAATTTCTATCAAACTATTCATTCAAATATAGATGAATATTCTTATAAACTAACCAGTAATACATATTTAGTTTAGGTTTGCATAATGTATAATGGCATACTTTTTGTAACATTTAGATAGTCTACATAGACAGTTCTACGATAAGGTTTTAGAGTATGATTATGTTAACAATGACTCCTGTATCTATATTGCAAATGCCAAATTATGATGAAATTAGTATTGTGGTGTGCTACTTATATTAACATAAGTAGTATATGACGTTCGGAATACAATGGACAGCTCAGAATCAATTAGACGATTTGGACTTCGTAGATAACCTAGCCCTCCTATCGCATACACATGAACAAATGCAGACAAAGACAGCCAATGTAGCAGCAGTCTCTGCATCAGTAGGCCTCAACATACACAAAGGGAAAACCAAGGTCCTCAAATTCAAAACGGAGAACAGCAATCCAATCACTCCTGATGGCGAAACTCTGGAAGATGTAGAATCCTTCACATACCTGGGAAACATCATCGATCAACAAGGAGGCTCAGATGCAGACGTAAATGCGAGGATTGGCAAAGCAAGGACAGCATTCCTACAACTGAAGAACATATGGAACTCAAAACAACTTTCAACCAATATCAAAGTGAGAATCTTCAATATGAACGTCAAGGCAGTTCTACTGTATGGAGCTGAAACTTGGAGAACTACTGAAACCATCATCAAGAAGGTACAAGTATTTATAAATAAATGTGTACGCAAGATACTCAACATCCGTTGGCCGGATACCATCAGCAACAGTCTTTTGTGGAAGAGAACAAGTCAGCCTCCAGCTGAAGAGGAAATTAGGAAAGGACGATGGAAATGGATAGGACATACATTGAGGAAATCACCAAACTGCATCATGAGACAAGTCCCAACTTAGAGTTCTGAAAGGAAACTGAAAAGAGGAAGGCCAAAGAACACATTACGTCGGGAAATAGAAGCAGATATGAAAAGGATGAATAACAACTGGAAAGAGCTGGAAAGGATTACCCAGGACAGGGTTGGATGGCGAATGATGATGAGCGGCCTATGTTCCTTCACGAGGAGTAACAGGCGTAAGTAAGTATATGACGTTAGTCGTGAACAGAATGTCTGGCAGCAGAGACAAGAGGTTCGAACAGTAAAGAATAGAAACAGGATGCAACTTGTATGAAAATGCAAGAACAGTGAAGTCTGAGTCATTTTGAGACAATTGATGGACATTTTGCAAATTAAGCATATATTTTGTGATTGTTAGGTTTTATTAACAAGTCCTGTAATTTTGTATTAAATACATTGGATTGTCCCCACTCGTGTTCTTGTTCACTACAGTATAAATAAAAGACTTGAAGATAGATCTTTTCATGCAAGGAACATGGATAAACTTTTAGCGGGTCATACAGTCATGCTTAGAAACCTGACTGGCATTTTTATTGTTCTGCTATAACATCATTAAATTTTATTAGTCACTCTAAATCATTCTACACTTCTTACTACATTTTGCCTGGGCTCATATTAAATAAACCCTACTCATGTCCACCTGTATATCTTGATATAGGGTTTAGTGCAATACCTATATTTAATGATAAATATAATAGCAAGTTAAGACTGCTCAAATAACATTGTGTAAATCTCATTAAGACTACCTGTTCTTAGTAATTTACAGATACTTCTAAATCATTAGCCACAAATAAAATAAGATGTAATAACTAAACAGTAGAAAAAATTTCATTATGAAGCAAAATTAGAATAACTTTAGCTTTTCTAATAGATGTTTATGATTGTTCCAACTATTAGAATTGTATTTAATCTACGAAGAATATTAATGCCATCAATCCAATCTAGTGCATTTAATTCATAGGCAGTTTAACCAAAACAATCATAATGTCTTATCATTAACTTTTATAAAAAAAAACAAAGGAAATATAATTTAAACCTTCTTTCCATATCACTTTTTAATGATAAAGAGCAATCATAAACAGTTTAAGTAGCCTAGTCCTGATTATTGATAAAACTCCAATGATCGATTCTACGTTCATATAAATTCGTGACATGACAATAGTAACTGTTTGAAGTAATCGATAAAGTACTTTAAAGAGGACATTTACAGTCTCTTATTACAACATATGATGACACTACTTTACGTCCCTGAGAGTCAAACTGTTTCCTGAAGATTACAAAAATATCTTGTAGTTGAGTATAGATCAATAAAAAACCTAGGTCTAAGTATTTCTACTGATTACTCTCAACTATCTGACAACAAATAACTAATGAATGCTATAACAATCAGTAGTGTAAAATAAGGCCTGGCTACACAAAATGAAATGCACCCTCCATAATTATATCCTTCAAACTTTAAGAACCCGATATATAAAAAGACCTTCAATACTACAAATATACAATAAATTATATTTACAAAAACGTCTACGGAAATTTTAGAAAAAAATCGAAAGTTATTGGGTGATTCATATGAAAAATCATCAATAACGCAATCACATGTACTACAAAGACGAGGTACAACTGTTCATTGGATTATTAATAATCAAAATGGAACGACTATCTAGTTTGATCACATGCGAGTAACACCTGTTGGACCGTCAAAGGAGTTCGTTAATTCATCATCCAGTAATTTCACACCTTCCTTCAGTACTTCATGATTACAAAGAATCGACTCCAAAGGAGTTGTAAGACAAACTTCATAAGTTTCTTGAGGATGTGGCAGGGTATTACGATGCGGTGTAACCACAGGAAGTTCAGAAAGCTGAGCTGGCAGTGGGTCCGTAGTGAAATATGGATCTTTCAATGCCTGAAACATGAAAAAATAAAATTCTTCAGAACAAACAAACAAACAGGATTTTTTGCTTATAAGCAGATTTTATTGACTAATCCACAGAACATTGATATCATTAAAAGTAATATGGAAATTGAAACCTCGTTTTATGCAAAACAAAAAGATATTATTTTAGAATTCCCTAGAACCTGCAAGTTACAACTTAATTTTGCGTTTCTGAATCCCACGCAGACAACAATATGAAACATATGAGTAAGGAAAAAACACGTGAATTGATATTTTGTAAAGATCACTGCTAGAAAATGACTCAAACAACTGTTTCCCTTATTCAATGTTTACACTGCTTCTAACTTTCTCACTCCAGCTCTCAAACAAATGTATTTATATGTCTAACTTCAATCCACTTATGATATTACGCAACCATCTATTGCGTGGGGTAAATAATTACCTCACACCCGATATGTTTCAACTTTACATGTCATAGCTTTTCATTAAAACTCCAGAAATCGCATCTAGAAGTCAGTCACCAGTAAGCACACGATTATTATCGGTATAAGATTTTGTGAAGATTCTAGAATTTTTTATAGATTTTATATCCCGAACCGATCTTAGTTAGGCTGCCAATGAAAAATTGGAAGCACTATGTAGCTTTCCCGTCCTAGTATGATGCTCCTAAGCAGTGCGCACCCCTAACTCCACAACCGGGAAAAGGACCCAGAGCATTCACTCTCATGAGCCAACGCTCAACCTCTAGACCAGTGAGCTAGCATCCGACAGTGCTGATGCCTAACTTTAACCCATTCGAGTGTCAAATAAACGTTTGCGGGTTCGAACTCTCCTCCACATGTTTTGCTTTGAAAAGGTGAGTTGTGTCCCACACCCGCCGTCAAAATGTGTGACTTAAAGATACACGTACGGTTATTTACCCTAGTACATGCCAAAAAAGTAAAGCACGTTGGTTTACAAAAAGTAGTTATACACATTATGCAGAATCAGTTGTCACTCGTAAAGTTTTGAAAGATTTAAAATTATTTGATCCTACAAGTATGAAGTACGACTGATGTAGTAAACTACATAGGGATAAGATGTAAAATGATGGATGTACTGGCGTATCAACTGATATGCCGAAAGGGAAATAAATAATGGCATATAAAAAATATAGGTTTTGATGCACTAAACTGTGAGTTAAGCTTATTTTTCAAGATTACTGACACATCATAATTATGTTAACTCCAGTCTATGAAGCACCTTTAAATGTGTAACTCAATAGTTCAAAGCAAAACCCTCAAACTATTCAGAGACAGCACCACAGCATATTTAAACCAGAGTTACCTGATTTACCAAGTCGGGTATACCAGAATTAAAATAATACTTACTTCGGATACCGTAATTCTTTGATGGGGTGGGTACACTAAAAATTTACTAACAAGAGCAACGGCTTCAACTGATGCATCCGGAAGAACTTCCTCAAACGGGATGGTTTCACACAGGTTAAAACTTATCTTGTTATAATCAGGCAGTTCTTTAACTTCCTAGAAAAATAAAAGAACAAAATTACTACCAAAACAAAAGAAAAAAAACTTGATGTATTGGAAAACTAAGAGTAAATTAACCAAACATTGTTGTCACATACGGTGAAATAAATGCCTACTACAAAAACTTAGTAAATAAAGAGTAATCGTTTATTGAATGAAGCGCATATGGATAGTTACTACCCATGTAAATAATATGAAATTGAGTGAAAAAAAACCGCTTTTGACATAACTCTTACTATCAACCTGTGTTTACCATTCATTGGAGTATAGTATTCAGTAACTGAGTTTTTTATTATTATCAATAACTTCCCATCAGGTTTCACAATTATAAATCTAAATTAAAACTCCATAAAATTGGCCAGATTTAAGACAGAGTACATCATTTAAGATTGTAATATGTGAATCAAGAATTGTTGTTTGTCATATCAAATCAAATCACTAATGTTGGTGTTGACAATATGAAGTGTTAACTTAAATCATTTCACTTATAAACGGATTCAGGTTAACACTTCATATTGTCAACATCAACAATGATGACTTGATTTGATATGACAAACAACAATTCTTGATTCACATATTACAATCTTAAATGATGTACTCTGTCTTAAATCTGGCCAATTTTATGGAGTATTAATTTGGATTTATAATTGTTAAACCTGATGGGAAATTATTGAAAGGGATATTCTTCGTTCATATAATTGTGTTTTTTATTATCATAGAGGAACGCAGAGAGTATTTGAATTGAGTTTCTGACCAACATTTATAACATTAGAATGTTTGACACATCAACTGAAAGGACAGTTTTGTTTGTTGTTTAATGGCTTCCATGTTAATCGATATACATCCCTCTTCTTCAAATCCAGATATATCCAACTTCTATTTTAGAAACATGACCTTAGAAAGAGATGATTCAACTTGTGCGAGCATACACATGTAAACGTGATTATCCTATGAATACAATCAAATATGATTTAAGACGGCTTTTATCAGAAACTAAGACCATAAAAGTTACAGTGCACTAGCTTAATGTTTTACTGCAGTTTAAAAAGTCACAGCAACTTATACTTTTTAAAGATTTCAGGAAAGAATTTATACCCTCAGAGCTTCAATGAAAGCATTTTTATATTACACAGTCATTTCGTCAATTTAAGCAAAATTTCTTTGAATGTTATCAGTTATAAATCATGAGAGTATTTGAGTTAGGGACATTTTAAGAACGGATAAATGGGTCGATTTTATGATAATCATATTTCATGATATAACCAACAATCAGTACTGAATAGATAACATTTCAAAGAGTTTACCACAATAATTTCAAAAACCTTACGGGCCATATATCTTCGTTCGGAGTCCCCAGAACACGCACAACAAACCAAAGTTGTTCAATATCATTTTCTCCCTAAACAATTCTTAGTACTATAAATTATTAAATACCGGGAACATTGGAGAACTGTTAAGTAATTCGCCAAATATACAACCGATAGCCCTAAAACTAAATAAATTATAATTGACATACCATAAATCAACACTATTTGTGTATTTTTTAGCTCCGTATAATAATTCAGGTGCTCGATACCACCTGAATTAATAGATAACTTGCATTAGAAAAAATTACCTTGTAGCCACTTGATGACTGTATAGTCGCTCATTATTATTCTCGAAAACTCTTGCAAGACCGAAGTCAGCTATTTTCAGGACCCCCTCCGAACTAATCAATAGATTGGCAGGCTTAAGGTCCTAAATAAGGAAGTGAAGATTAGAAGATTTCATAAAAACAGACACACACCCTGTGCATAATTCCATTAGCATGCATGACTTCAACTCCTCTTAGTATCATTAGCATATAACATTTGGACTGTTCTTCAGTAAGAGGAGGTTCCGAATTCCGAATAACCTCACTAAGATCCGTAACCATGTACTCAAAGACGAGAACAAAACCAGTACCATGAGGGAAAACTTCTCGTAGATGGACAACGTACGGACTGGACTCAATAAATTGGAGAGCCTTTATTTCTCTACAATAATAAATATACTTTAATTGAATTACCGAAGTGCTGTGTTAGGAATTCCATCAGCAAGTTTTCTCAAAGGAACCTTTTTTAGAGCAACAAGTTCTCCACTCTAGATAAAACTGTGAAATGTAAAATGAAATCACCTCAATATGCTTAGCTTTTAAAACGACTCCATGAGCACCTTCACCAATACGACCAAGAATACTGTACTGCTCCATATAACTCTAATGTTCGTAATATTTAATTTCCTGAACATGCCAGTATCTAGTTGAGCAAAGTTGAGCCATTTGGTTTCCGCATCTCAAATGTAAGAAAGATTTTGAAGAAACCTCGGAATATTTGTCATAATGAAGATATTAAGTAAACACTATCAAGCTACATTTTTAAATGTGAGATTTCGTGGACAATATATTGTTACATATACTTAGCTGCTTAAATATACGACGAGAGATTGATTTTAATAAATCATTCTTTCTAATAACCCAAAAATAAGTGAGTTTATTGAATCATTTGCGAATGCTACCAGATACGGAAGCCCTTTAAGCGAAAGTTTTTATTCCATCTAGAACCATTTGAAGAGCAGATAGCATCAAAAGGGGTTTAAACAAATTAGTATCACATGTAAGAACAAATATAAGTATTATGACCAATGGAAAGCTACAGATACTTCTTAATTTGATATCAAGCAATCGTCAGTATTATATTAGTTCAACGTTGACATTTATGCCCCTGGTATATCCAATAAGTAACTCGTAACCCTATTTTTTTATACAAATCCACTTGAAACTAACTGATTGACAGAATCGCCTATTTCTTACAGTATTTCTGGCGGAATAAGTATGTCTAAGGGATTTCCATCGCGGTTTCCTCAAAATAGCGAGATTAATCTCTCAATTGGATACACGAACGTGACGTCATTATTTGATAACTTCTGAACTCGTTTGGACAGAACTATTGTGAAAACCTAACTTGTCAGTATAAAATACCAAAAGTCATTCTCTGTGTTAAAATGAAAAGATTAAATCAATATTTGATGTAAAGTATAATGAGCAATAGACAAAGTAAGTCCTCATACTAAAACACACAACAGAACAGCGCAAGCAACCACACTGATCTCTTTTTATAATTTCAGATTTTTGAAATATATGCCAATGTAAAACAAACAAATAACTGAACAGTTATAAGTTAAAAACCATAGCAACACGCGCTAGGCAGCAAATGAACATTGAATTAACACATGGTTCAAATGACTTTAAAGGGAATAGAAAAAGCTTAAGCTTACCGAGCTTCAGTATGTAGTAGCATTCGATCGTTTATACCGTCGGGCAGGGACTTGGATATATTATTGATAAAACAGGAAAAGGAAATCACAGTAAGCCACTATCCATATTTCTTAAGAATATCACATACTTTCTCTTAAATAACTCCTGAAAAGTCGACTGGACTAGCTCAGCCGGTAGTGAATCCCAGAATTTGACTGCTTCTAAGGAGTAGAATTTATATCTACAACCCATTCTGCTGTGTTGTGTCTCCAGTTTCTGGGTGTTACCAGCATTTTACAATCATAACTTACAGGCTCCCGCATTATGAGCATGAAGCGTCTAATCTTTTATATCTTTTACATACAATTATGATACTGTCACAACTAAAGTTAAGAAAATGACCCTCTAGAAAGTTTTGAAATTGCCACAGACATTTACGGTTTTACAACGCTTAATTCCGTAGCACCTGTATAATTAAAGGATACCAACGCAGGCAAACCAAGTCGGAAATGAGTTCAAAGATATATTTGGAAGATTGTCGATATGTTGATAGACGTTTGATCTGAGCCGGCCAGTAGTTGCGAAGGAAACGTAGCTAAGCGTGCCCACACGTGATCTCGCTCGGACACGTGATCTAGCACTTTTACTGGACGTCTCCGGTAAAACTCATGAGGTCAGCATCAAATTGAAGGACTCATATAACTCGTTATTTTGGGGATTTATTAGTTATCACAACTGATTTTCCCTCAATTATTTGGGTAGTGATGGCCTTAAGGCCATGTCATTAAGAAGTCTAAACCTAATGGGCTTGCCGTTGTCAAACACTGTTGTTGTTCCATCACCATCTGATGGTCTTCCCTTAACATGAGGAGCCGTGCGTTGCCAGACAACAATTTAAAACATACAATTAGAACTTCGAATCATTGTCGTCACCCTGGAAAATAAAAAGAATGGAAGTTCAAGTGCTTATTAAGACTCACTCATGCTACTGTAAGGATGTAAGACACGCGAAGAAAATACCTGATAATCATGCGAACACGTACGATGTAACAAGGTGAAAAAGTTTTGCTCAGAAAGATTTCTCTTTTGAACTTAAAAATTAATATTCACACATATTCTAACATATCAGAAAAAACGATTTTTATTTTTGAAAGAGGGTGTTAAAAAATTGGGATACAATCAAATTGTTCTATAACACGAAAAAACGAGACAATAGGCTTGTCATCCTACGCTACTTTTGCAACTACCGGCCAGCTCAGATCAAACGTCTCTCAGCATATCGACAATCTTCCAAATATATCTTTGAACACATTCCTGACTTTGGTTTTGCTTGCGTTGGTATCCTTTAATCATACAGGCGTTACGGACATAAGCGTCGTGAAACTCCAAATATCTATAGTATCTTTTGAAACTTTTTGAACCAAATACTTCTACTGATCGATTTTCATTAAAGTTAGTAGTGTCAAAACCATCAGCAACAGTCTACACATCTAGTGAATTTAAATGTTATTTTCAAGCGAAACCCCAAGGCATATTTTAAATAACGATCATCATTTCTTATTCTATACAACGATAATTGCACCTGAATCAAATACATTTTTCACACAACCTAATAATGGCACTGTTATTTTCATTATCTCTAACTCGATGAGCCATGACTAGTAGATGGACCAAACACTGAAATGCCAATTTTCTTGAATGTATATTTGAGTAATTTAATTAACTAGTAACCACGATAGTAATACACTGATATACATTGTGAAAGCCTCATCGTCTGAAGTAAAAAACGACATATAACTCATGAATTATTTCAGATCGTGTTTAACATGTTTTCATGTTTTAAGAAGACTAATTGATTGCTTCATTGTTCATTATAGTTGAAGATGCCACAAGCATTTATTTCGGCAAAACTTCAACCAGTAAAACCTATAATTGAATCGTGCCCACCCAGTGAGATCAAAAGTCAGAAGTGGGGAGGTTCGAAGGTATATTTTATAGGTTATCAGTAAATCGATCATCGACGGATCTAAACTGGCTGATTATGTCACAGGTATTCAGTGTTTGACAACGCTTTCACCAGTAACACCTTCTAATATAATTCGTTCCCACCCAGAGAAATCAAAAGACAGAGTCGAGGAGATCGGAAGAGTGTATTTGGCGATTACCAATATATTGGAATTCTCTGATCTAATCTGGCTAGCGATTGAGGTAGATGTTGATCACAGCGTCCCCACTCGTGATCTGGTGCATTTACTTGACCGAGCACATTGAACTAGGTGATTCCATTAAAACCGATGTAGTCAGCATCAAATGTTGAAGATTTACAGAGCTACTGACTTTGGTGATTTATTTACCGTTGCACAGGAAATATGTCCACAGAACAACTTACAGAAATATTATTTTTATATACAAATAATTTCAATCTGAATAAATCTAAACGCTCAACAAATTTATCTCACCAGGTCTAAAGCTAATTTATTTACAGCATAAATTCCCAAATTATTAAGATACTTAAAAATCACTTTCATCCATAACTGACCAGTACTGGTCACTCTAGAATACGTTTTCAGCTTTTGGTTGTCCCTCTTTCTAACTAAACAGCCGAAATTTGAATTTTAGTGTATACTGACCATATTTGTTATAACTAATCCGTTAGATTTGTCATTGCTATATCGTAACTGCACATTTTCAAATATGAAGTCGTCACACAAAAATCTTAAACTTTTCAAGAGTTCTTCTAGACAGAGCTTGTTCTCAACTCAGACTAGGTATGAATTGTATAAGTGGTGATGGACATAATAATTCAGTATATCAAGGCTGGAGGGAGTAAGGAGAATAATGAAGGAATATAATGGTGACACTTTTGTCATTATTCTTGGTTTGTCTGTTCCAGTACTTTTGATTTTACGTCAAGGGGTTGATTCGCTGTTCAATAGAGGTTCTGTGAAGGCTGCATCGTATTTGTTGTTTAATGCATACGAAGTGAATTGCGGTGGCCTGACCGAATGTACACATGAGCTGGACATTTTAGAAGGTATGTTGATAACAATGGTAAAACTTTCCACAGATATGTTTATGTGTATCCACCTGAATGAAGTTATACTTTACTGCAACTTTGCAAGCTTTTCCTTGATTTCACCTTATGTTAGTCACTGGCCTAACCTACGCATACATTACGTAAATGAAAATTACGTAAGATGAAATTAATGGTCATTTTGCGAAATTACGTGACATTTTAGATGATTGACCCTGAGAAACATGAAGATGTAAAAATTAGTGTGTTTGAAAGCACCTTGTCCAAATTCAAAAGGATTATTATACCTTATACAGATCCTCAAAGTAGATAGTTTTAACCTTATGTATTGCAGAATATATCTAGGTGACAGAAATAAAATGTTTAACAAGTTGATGATCGAAAACTGGCCACTTGTTCAAAGCTATGCTTACGACATTAGGCGTCAGTGAGTTTTTTGAGACATACCTTATGTGTATCTCTTCGGTGGTTTTTCGATATAGGTTTGTCTTTGACTAATACATCGGTAGGAAATCTGTTTACAACTAACGACTTTTAGCTTTCTACGTTACACTTAAGCAGACATCTTGCTTGCTACTCTTTTTATTGCAAGAGGATGAAAACACGTATTTTCACTAATCTCTAAACGTATCTACAGTAAGTTCATGCTATTGGAACAAAATTTGTGTTAAACCTTGAAGATCCTTTTAACTTACTGAGGTTTAACTCTTCGTGTATATAGTTTAAACAGCATAATTCGAATCTACTGAAATATTCTGATAAAAAATCAACCACCTGATTTCCTGAATCACATGTTACCGAAATCAAATGAATATACTGGGGAAAATTTTATCTCATCTATAAAATGTCAATTTGTTATCATCCATTCTGACCAAGGTTATGAATCAGAGAAAATGGAGTACTCCTAAACAAACCAATCAAA